AACAATTGTCAATTAATTTTCACGAGGAAGACTAAAAGCAGCGAACGGAAAGGAAGCGAGGGAGAAATGAAAATATAATCCATGGGAGAAGGAAGCCAGGGGAGGCGTGTGGATAAAAAGGTGAGGGGAAAGTTGGGGATCATTTTATAGATTTGATGGCTTCTCTTTTATCAATCAATAAAAACAAAAAAAACAGCAATTAGTTTTCACGGGGAAGATTGAAAGTAGCAAACGGAGAGGGAAGTGAGGAAGAAATGAAAATAAAATTCATGGAAGAAAGAAGCTAGGGGAGGCGTGTGGATAAAAATGTGAGGGGGAAGCTGGGGGCCATTTTACAAATTTAGTAAAAATTTTCATGGGAAAGACTAAAATAGAGAAGTTCTAAGAATTGGAGAGAGTTAGGAGTGAAGATGAAGATGAAGGTGGGTTTCTTCTTGGTGACTCGGTTTTTCTACCGAACCGGTTGGACCAACGGTTCGACACTATTCCACCAATCCAAATCCGATTCAATCCTAGCCAAACGTTATAAACGGTTCTAATTATGTCTTAGACCAAACATTTTTAGTGCTGACATGGTTTCAGCAACCATTATATATATATATCATCTGTTGACTAAAAAGAGTAATTAAATTAATTTATAGAAAAGGAAGTTCTAAAATCCTTACTAAAAACACTCTTCATGAATGGAAAAAGCTATTGAATAAATAAAATTTCTTGTAAATCTTCATACTTAATTATATAATATCATATTCAGGAGTATCTAAAAACATATATAATAGGATAACGTTTTTAAAATAAGAAATTGATTAAGACTAAAATCAGTATTATAGAAAAGATATGGTATAGTATGGTTTGAAAGAAACTATTATAATTTAAAATTTATTAAAACAGTGAAAAAATGATGTTAAAATTACGAAGAAGTGTTATGTTAAGTCAATTTGTGTAAAACGAGTTTTTGTAAGAATTTTTTTTTCTTTTTTCTTGGTGTAAAATTGTGAATCAATTGAACTAGTTTAGCAATTGAGATGGTTCGTACGAAGGTAAGCAATGAGACTGAATCAAAAGAGTCTATTGAAATAATCAGTTCAGATCTTTATCGATTAACTTCCATAGGACAGTAATATACTTTTTAAGTTTTTAGTATATGTACATTGACTACTTTTAATATGAGAAATAAAATGGAATGAAGCTATAAATTATCACCAATTAACTATCTTTAAGTAATCGAGTGGTTTGATAAGGACTCTAAAGTTTTGAGCTTGATTCACTTCTTGGTTACTAATAGAGGTAGTCACTAGAGTTCTTACTCGGTTGGTAGTTCTAAGATCCCGAGAGATTAATTGAGATGTGTATAAATTGTACCAAACATATATATATATATATATATATATAATGGATAATCTCTTGCATATACCGGATTAATTGCTTTCTCTTGACTCTTCAATTTGGCCTCTGAACAAAATTTCGGCCACTTTTTTGCTGGGCCAATGGGTGCATTTTCTAACTGAACTAAGTTGAGAGTCTAGAATAAGGTTATGGGTATTGGGCTTAAGGTTTATTGCCACTTCAAATAGACGTCCTCGGTCCTCCAACAACTATGGAAACTTATTTTCATTAATATTATTCATATAAAAAAAAAAATTAATAGAATTAAATGAGATGTGAATACCGATTATTATAATAAAGACTCAATTCCACTCATTTAATTTACAAAATTGAGTTTTCCTTTTTGTGGTTAACTTTTTTTTTTTTTTTTTTTTAGGACAGTCTTTAAATATTTTTAATTATATGAACTAAATTCATTTAATAATTAATTTGTTTCGGGGATTGGGTCCCCACCCCTCTCAGAAATTAATCCGAAGATGAGTTTTCATCTCTATCCTTGCCCCATCCCCAAAATTTTAGTTTAAATACCCTCCCCGAATGAAGCAGGGACAAGGGGGAACCTGTCCAGCTGTACCCATGGGGGCAATTGCAATAGCTAGAAACAACCTAACAGGAATAATTCCAGTTGAGCTTTAATCAAAGAATGGTTCATCGTCATTAAGGTATTGTATTCTTTTAATTAAAACTATTAACCTAATTTACAATAATACCACTAGGCTCAACTTTGTAAATTCTAACGAAAGAAGACCAGCTCAAAGCCAGAGTCAATGAATCAACCTTTACCGTAGAATAGAAGTATTTTCGGCGATTAACTTTTGTTTCTGGCTAATGGGCTTAATGTCTTGGTCATCGTCCCTAGCTGCTCACATTTTTATTTTGCAATTGAAAAGAGTTAATGAACGGTTCTCACCCAAAAAATAGTCCACTGACAAATTCATACCCACCCACATTTTAAATCCTATTTCAGTACCCAAAACATAATTTTATTAGTAATTTTTATAAAACCCATAATTAATGAAGATAGAATTGTCACAAAAAATAATGCTACACTTACATCACTGTTTTACATAATTTTCATTACGTCATGATGTAACATATGTTACAACCACACAAATTTTTAATTATTTTGAATTTTTAATATTATAATAAAATTTGTGTAGTTGTAGTATATGACACATCATAATATTTACAAAATGATGTAAAAAAAATGGCATAAATGTAGCATTACTCTTGTCACCAAACAGTGGCTGCCAAAGAAGAAGAACAGTGCATGTTAGCAAAAGATGGCACACGTTAGCAACGTCAGATCTGACGGGTCTTTGTCATTTTTCGGCCTATCCTGGCGTTCAAAATCACTTCCGACACCACCCAAAGAATTCTCATCACCTCCTCTACAAAGCCCAAGCCTCCATTTGTCGTCATAACTCACCATTTTCCACCACCACCTCCATTCACACGTACGACTCTTCAAGTCAGATTTCCAATCGTTTTCAATGTCGAAAATCGTCTCTGTCACCACCAATAGACTCCCTGAATCTTTCTCTCCAAAAGCTCCAATATTTCCGATCCCGTATGCTCACCAATTGCCGACGATTGAAGCTTCCTCACCTTAGGGTCTTTTTAGTTTTAATTGGATTAATTGTGTTTGATTCGTACCATTTTTGTGTTTGTTGGGTTGAAATACAATTGAGAAATGTTTGTTTGTTGATTTTCTGATCACCGACACTCCCTAACGTCGACGGTAATGGCTGGCAATGGAAAATGTTGAGAAGAGAAGAAAGAAGAGAGGGTTTTTTTTAGTAACTTACTTTGCTTTCTATCCCAAACAGAGGATAACCCAATATTTGGATAGTAAAAAGGTGTTTTAAAAGTTTAAGCAATGGCCATTTTTTGGGTGGTAACATGTCGTTAACTCCAATTGAAAATTGCCGACATATAAATTTTTGTCGGAAGACTTCAGCAGCGTCTTTCCATAGCATTTATAAATTGTACCATACACAGGTAGAAAATTTATCATGCATTTGGTTTATTATTTATATCCATGTTTCAATCCTATTCTCACAATATTTATTTGATTAATTATTTAGAAAATATTATTATATTTTTTTTAATTATTTTTAGATTCTTTAAGTTTATTAATTTTATAAATACTCCTAAAAAAAGTTTAAAAATTAACAAAAATACTCTCATCCACCTATAGTTGTTGGATTCCAGTATCATCATTGATGGTAGCTAAAATCTGTCATAACGGCCTACAAATGACTAAAATTGTCTTGTAATTCACCAATTTGACCTTTTTTGGTCAAATCTGATTGTAAATTGATCCATTCTGAATCTGGCCTTTTATGACCGAATCTGATCAGAAAATGTCAGATCAATACACGTCCAGCCAGATCTGACTGGTCTACATTATAATGCTAGATTCTGACAGTAATGATCAAAATCTGACACTATAGATAGGTTGTGGTATTTTTGTTATTTTATAAAATTTTTATATATTAGAGTATTTAGTTAAATTAGCAAACTTAACAATTTTTTTTTTTTATAAATTTTTAAATTTTACCTAAATAATTTCTTTATTCAACTATCAAATACTATCTCTAAAATTTTATTCAAAATAATAAAACAAACATGCTAATTAATAGTATACGTATAGCCGACAGCGTAGCTGTAAGTCCTAGCATCTCATCAATGGGAAATAATGCAATTTTTTATTTTTTATTATTAATTTCTCATTGACTTGAGGTTCAAAAGTTTGGCATTTGTGTATATCACATCGCTGGGGCCAACCCTCGTTCCTTTCACGTCCCTAGTGTTTTTCCTGAGGCAAACCCTTCCAAAAATTTAACTTGATAAATTTGTTGATATTTACTGTCACGATGATGATATATTATGTATAGCATTCATGCATGCATGCACATGCTTTGTGATGCTCGGTGTGAGAGGAGCACGGATCCAAAGTAGAACTTACCATCAAAAGTTCAAAGGAAGAAAGACTACAACATATATATATATATATATATATATAGTTAGTAATCAATTTAATATTATAAAATAAATACAACTTTTAATTTTTACAAACTTTTTTATTAGTTAATTAACGAAAACCATTTAACAAATAAAATTTCTTATTAATTTTCAGACTTAAATTAGATTACAGTTCTCGTAAGTATATCTAACAACAAATAATTGTATCAAAGTTTTTAATTTTGAAAAAAAAAGAAATTGATTAAGATTTACCAATTAATATGATATAATTAGAGAAGTAAAAAAGTAAAAAAATAAAAATATATTAAACAATTAAAATAAAAGTTTTTAGAATTATGAAGCATTATATAGTTGTTTCTTCGAGAATTAGCTTTGTGCGAGGAAAACACAATCTAACCCAAAGTCAATGAATTAATCAACACGTCCCATATAAGTCTTTTCCAAGACCGTACTCTCCAGCTGGGGCCTGGGATCAAGTTGGAGGTCTCTAAAATGCTCACCTTTTTTACTTACAAATGAATCCATTTGGATAATCTGAAAATTCCGCAAGTGCCCCCTCTTAGAATTTTATTGAACAGCAGCAATATAAATTATTATACAATAGACAGGAAGAAACAGAATTGGCAATGGAGATGTTAAAGAAGTTGTTCGCCTCTGCATTCATATATGCACTTGTTCTCAGAGTCCTGGTTCAAGAGAGTCAATCAGGTTTTAATAACTCCACCCATCTTTAAGCATGAATTTAGTTATACTGTTATTTTTCCCAACCATTTAATTATATATTTTTTTTTTCTCTTTGTTTATCCTTATATATTCCAGGCTTTATTAACATAGACTGTGGAACACAAGAAAATTCTGGCTATTACGACGAAGATACCGGCCTGTATTACACTTCAGATGCAACCTTGGCAGGGACTGGTGTTGGCAATAATATCTCTTCTGAATACAAGAGTACTGCCCTTGAAAAACAATTCTTGAATGTGAGAAGCTTCCCAGAGGGCAAAAGAAATTGTTACACCTTGGAAATTGCTCCTGGCGATATTAAGTTTTTTATTAGAGCAAGATTCATGTATGGAAATTATGATGGCAAAGGTAAAGTACCAAGTTTTAATCTCATTCTTGGAGCTGATGTGTGGGATTCGGTGGAATTGGCAGATGCATCTACCATTGTTACCAAGGAGATCATCCATATTCCCCAGAGCAACTATGTATATGTTTGTCTTGAAAACATAGGCTTCGGAACACCTTTCATATCCGTGTTGGAATTAAGGCCCTTGAGTAATTCCACTTATTATACTCAATCAGGATCACTACTGCTCTATAGGAGGTTGGATGTAGGTTCAACTACCAATCAAACATTCAGGTGAGTCGTTTTATATCAGCAAGAAAGATTTAACAAATTTTCCTTTTTCCGTCAAGGTTCCATTTAAAAAATTATGACAGTAGATGTTGAAGGGCAAGTTGGCCAGGATTGTTACGTGGCAGCTGAGTCAACTTAAGTTTGTTAAACGTCAGAGTTAGTTAGTGTAATTAGTTAGAATCAGTTAGATTAGAAATGCGTGTGTAAACAATGCATGTGTTTATATAAGCTGTACAGTATCACGTGAATAATATGAGAGAGTGATTCTATTCTTCTTCTCTTCAAAGTTTACTCAATATTTTCTTCTCTCAAATCTTAACATGGTATCAGAGCTGCGATAAGGGGCCAGAATACTTGATTTCTTCAAAACCTCGAATCATCTCCATTTCAATTCACTTTCTTCTCAACTGAATCAGGAATCAGTCTTGATTCATTCGATTCATATTTCTGATTCATTAACATAAGTGAATCCCGATCTTTGATTCTTGATTTTTCTTTCGTTCAAAATCAAACTCATGGCAACTGAAGGAGCTAGCTCAACCGACGTTCAAAACACGCGTTCATCAGATGAAATTGATTTCAATCATCCTCTGTTCTTGCATCCTTCTGATACACCAGGTTCAATCCTTGTATCTTTTCAATTAACTGGTGTGGATAATTACTCTCTTTGGAGTAGGTCAATGAGAATAGCCTTGTTAGCAAAAAATAAACTAGGACTTATAGATGGATCATGCACCAGAACTTCAGTTTCCGCAAACATGCATCAGCAGTGGGATAGGTGTAATGCCATTGTATTGTCCTGGATCATGAATTCTTGTAACTAAAGAATGTGTAAGTGGTATTGTGTATGCGTCTAATGCTCACTAGTTTGGAAGGATTTACAAGAACGTTTTGATAAAATCAATGGATCAAGAATTTTTCAATTACACAGAGACATTGTCAGTCTTACAAGGCAGTTTATCAAATCAGCATATTTCACGTTTGAAGTTGCTATGGGATGAGTACTCCTCAATCATCCACTGCCTTCATGTGACTGTGACATGTCCAAATCATATGTTGACACATGCAAAATCAGAAACTACTTCAGTTTCTGATGGGATGAATGGACATATATTCAAGCAGAGGACAAATTTGATGTGAATCCCTTACCAAATTAATCAGGCTTATTCTATGTTAATCACTGAAGAGAGTCAGAGGAACATCAACACATTTTCACCAGCTGATACGCCTTTAGAACGACTGTATTGTTCTATCCTCACATCAATCAACCAAGTCAAAAAAAAAAAACTGGAATTTGGTTTGTGAGCACTGTAATATCAAAGGCCACAGAAGGAGAATGTTATCGGTTGATTGGATATCCTCCTGATTTTAAGTTCACTAAGAAGAAAGGACAATATCAACCATCATCGCTGCTCATAATGTCATTCCTCTGATCAGACAGATACTCACACTAATAAAATTCCTCAGCATCAGATTCATAAGTCATCAGCACTTTTCACGAAAGAGCAATATGTGAAATCTTGAAGCTTTGCACAAGGACTCCACATTCTCCTTTGAATGATATCAATGCTAACGGCAGGTATACAATGCTACCTTTCTTCTTTAGCAATAAGCAATCCTGGATTCTGGATACTGGTGTACACCTCCACTGTCACACGTATGAGCAGTTGGTTGACTTGGCTTCTCTGCTGTATCTCCATCAGTAAAACTTCCAAATGGTCATGATAAGAAGTTTCTCCATAGGCTCTTGCTTCCTCAGTCCAACTCAAAAACTCACAATTTCTTTATGTTCCTGACTTCAAGTTTAACTTGATCTCCATTGCCAAGCTCACTAAGGACTTATCTTGCTCTGTGTATGTTTTTCCTTTTGTGTTATTCAGGACCTCTCAAATGGGCAGGTGAAGGGGATTGGTAGACAAAATGAGGGCCTCTACTTTCTACTGCCAGTACATCAGCACAGCCACCATCAGAGTTAGTTCATTCAAGATTACCTGATACTGCTGTTTCACATGCTGTTATTCCAAGTTTTCCAGTTTCAAATAATAACACGAATTGTATGAATAGTTCTTATGAGTTGTGGCACAAACGATTGGGATGTACCCATTGCTAAACTCAAATAATTCTGTAATCAAACATGCTTTGTTAAAGATGACCATGCATTTGATGCCAATCTGTCCTCTTGCCAGCAAACCCGAATGCCATTCACAGCAAGTCAAAATAGAGCTTCTGCACCCTTTACTTTATTTACAGGATGTATGGGGACCATATTCTCAGCCTGCACATAATGGTCATAGATTTTTTTTAACATTAGTTGATGACTTCACCAGAGTTACTTGGATTTTCTTAATGCAGCATAAGCATGAAACAGTCATACATCTCAAGACCTTTATTGCTCTGTACATACTCAATTTTCTGCTCTCTGAAGATTGTCAGATCAGACAATGGGAGTGAATCTTTAACTCACAATGTACTGAGTTATTTACTTCTTTGGGGATCATTCACCAAAGTTCTTGTGTAGCCATCCTCAGCAGAATGGTGTCGTAGAGAGGAAGCATAGGCACCTTCTTGAAGTAGCAAGGGCATTACGGATTCAAGCACACATTCCCATCCCTTACTGGAGTGAATGTATCCTCACGCTGTTACATCATAAATAGACTGCCCACTGCAGTTCTTTCTAACAAAAGTCCATACGAAATGCTCAATTCCAGAACCTTCTGTTGAGTATTTCAAAGGTTGGTTGTTTTGTGTTATGCTGATACTTCACCTAAAGATAAGCTAGGTGTCAGAAGTGTTCCCTCTGTTTTTCTGGGTATTCACCACTCAAAAGGGCTACAGACTTCTATCTCTTGTCACTAAGAAATTGTTTGTTAGTAGGGACGTGCGATTCATGGAACATATCTTTCCCTTTCAATCTGCCATCCATCCCCAGTATTCCATTCAGATCCTACTGCTACTTTGGATTTGGTTCACATTTCAACCTCAGACTCATACACTGCCTCCTGAGTTCCTGATCCTCTTCCACAACATCAGTTTCCAAACTGATCCTGACATTCATGCTTCTTCTCATACTTCCGAATGTTACTCAAGACAATATTCCAGCTCCCTGAAGATCCTTCGCAGCACCAGGCCTCCATATGGCTTACAGATTATGTTTCTCCTCATGCTATTTTGCCATTCAGAAGTATATTTGCTATAATCATCTTGCTGAACTATCACTGCTTCCTTTCTTCTATGTCTAAACATATTGAAACTCTTCTTATGAAGAGGCTGTCAAATATCACATGGTATGACGCTATGCAAGCTGAAATCAGTGCCTTGGAAGCTAACCATACTTGGGCATAGTTTCTCTTCCTCCTGGCAAGGCACCCATCGGTTGCAAATGGGTCTTAAGGTGAAGTATAGGTCTGATGGCACTCTTGAACGTTACAAAGCCAGACTTGTAGCCAAGGGCTACAACCAGCGGCAGGCATAGATTTTACAGACACTTCTCTCCAGTTGCAAAAATGGTGACAGTGCGCACTATCTTGCTTTAGCTTCTGTATCAGTGGCCATTATATCAAATGGATGTTTTCAATGCCTTTCTTCAAGGTGATTGCATGAAGAGGTGTATATGGAGCTGCTAAAGGGTTTCGCAACAGGGGGAGTATCGAGCATGTAGATTGCTCAAAGCCTTTATGGCTTGAAACAAGCCAGCAGGCAATGGAACCTAAAGCTGACTGAAGCTTTGATTACAAAGGTTACATCCAAAGCAAACATGATTACTCTATGTTTACAAGAAAACATGGCAGCAAGATTGTCATCTACTGGTTTTGTAGATGATATCTTAATCACCGGAAATTGTGAAGAGATGATCAAACAGTTGAAAGACATTTTGCAGAGAAGTTTCAAAATAAAAGACTTGGGAGAGTTAGATACTTTCGCAGCATTGAAGTAGCTAGATCCAAAGAAGGCATAGTGTTAAACCAGCGAAAATATGCCTTGGAATTGATCTCTGAAGCTAGAATGGGAGATGCTAAACCAATCAAAACTCCTTTTGAGCAAAATCAGAAAGTTACTTCGTTTGAATATGATCAGAGATATCCACCAACAGAAGAAGATAAACTGCTGGAAGATCCTTCTATGTTCAAGAGATTAATAGGCAGATTGCTTTATCTAACTATGACTAGACCAGATATTAGTTTCTCAGTACAAACTCTCAGTCAACATATGCATAATCCAAAGCAGTCACATTTGGAAGCTGCACTGAGAATTGTCAAATATGTTAAAAAGAGTCCAGGACTTGGACTCCTGATGTCGTCAAATAGTAGCATGGAATTAATAGCCTACTATGATTCTGACTGGGCTTCGTGTCCAATGAGTAGAAAATCTGTTAGTGGATATTGTATAAAGCTAGGCGAATCTCTCATATCATGGAAAACAAAGAAACAAAACACTGTGTCCAGGTCATCACCAGAAGCAGAATATAGAAGCATGGCAAGCACAACTGCAGAGATTGTTTGGCTTTTGGGACAGCTGAAAGAATTAAACCTGGAAAAGATAAAACCTGTGAAACTTTTCTGTGACAATAAAGCTGTTTTGCAAATTGCAGCCAATCCAATGTTTCATGAGAGAACAAAACACATTGAGATTGATTGCCATTTTGTGAGAGAAAGAATCCAGGATAAAACCTTAAGCACAGAGTATGTATGCAGTGGAGAACAAATAGCAGATATCTTGACCAAAGGACTGGGTAGACAGCAGCATGAGAAACTGGTTGCAAAACTCGGAATGAAAGATATCTACAAGGTACCAACTTGAGGGGGAGTGTTGAAGGGCAAGTTGGCCAGGATTGTTACGTGGCAGCTGAGTCAACTTAAGTTTGTTAAACGTCAGAGTTAGTTAGTGTAATTAGTTAGAATCAGTTAGATTAGAAATGCGTGTGTAAACAATGCATGTGTTTATATAAGCTGTACAGTATCACGTGAATAATATGAGAGAGTGATTCTATTCTTCTTCTCTTCAAAGTTTACTCAATATTTTCTTCTCTCAAATCTTAACAGTAGAACTCTATGATGCAGGTTCAGAGATGACAATTATGATCGCATATGGTCGCCCTACAACAGCCCGAACTTGACAACAATATCTACCTCACTCTATCTCGACACTCGGAACTCTTTCCAACCGCCGTCCGAGGTCATGCAGACCGCCATTATACCAGAAAACGGTAGCGATTCCTTGCAGTTCAGTTGGGGGGGGTAGTGATTCCAATTTTCAATACTATGTGTATTTACACGTATCTGAAATTCAAAAAGTCGAGGCAAACCAGATTAGAGAAATGGACATCTATATTAATCAAAGGTTGTTTTATGGACCTCTTGTTCCCTCTTCATACGGATATACAACCTGTATATATTCCGTAACACCCTTAACAGGTGAAGGGATGAATGTGATATTAATCAAGAAAACCAATAATTCAACGCTACCGCCCATCCTCAACGCCCTGGAAATATATCGTTTAAAAGAATTCCCGCAATTGCTAACTGATCAACAAGATGGTACGTATGTTCTTCTAGACAAATATTTTCTTCACTGAATTAGTTGTCATTATTTTAGTTCTTATTTCTTTATGCTTGTAAAAATCTTATATAGTTGATGTCATCATGAATATCAAATCAAAATATGGAGTGAATAGATCAGATTGGCAAGGAGATCCTTGCGCCCCTGCAGATTACTTATGGCAAGGTCTTAATTGCAGCTACGATGATTCTAACCCCCCTAGGATCATATCCATTTAAGTGTACACTTTTAAACAAGCACCATCCTAATAAAACTTGACTAGACACTTTTCATAAAAGTTATTCTAAGTAAAATCTTTGCTAGCAGAAACTTGTCGTCAAGTGGAATAGCGGGCGAGATACCTCTAGACATATCAAAGCTGACATCAATACGAACTCTGTAAAGATATAAATCTCAAATGATCCTATAATCAATTTTCCGACCAATTAATGATGGTACATAGCCAAAGCCAGCTTAACATTTCAATTACGATTTCAGGGACTTATCCAATAATAGTTTGACGGGAACCGTGCCCCATTTTCTAGTACAATTACCTTTCTTGGAATTGCTGTGAGTTACTTTATCAGGATTATGGTCAATTAGAAAAGTTTCTTGGTCTTGAAAATACAGCAGTTCATCTTGTAGTGTTAATTAGTAATTACTATCCTCTTTGTACAGAAACTTGAGTGGAAACAAACTCAACGGTCCAATTCCGGCTGGACTCTTGGAAAAACAGAACAATGGGCGGCTGTCACTAAGGTTCGCACTCTATCGAAACAACTTTATATATCATAATGATTATAATTCAAAACTATTACTACTATCATCAGTTTGCGTTCCCAGCCCCAAAAAATTTGACCAAGTTAGGCTTTTGCCATCTATCAGCTATGTGTTGCAGTAGATATCCGTACTCCAAAGCACACTATTCGTACTTATCATTTCAAGTCTTATATTGTTTCATCTTCTGTTGATTCTAGCGTGGGAGGAAATCCGCATATTCTTGTTACAGTTTTATACAAAGAAAAGAACAAGTTTATTTTTCCATCAGTAGCAGCAGTCGTTTTAACTTCTGTCCTTGCAACTGCAGTGGCTATTTTATGGGGCTTTAAGAGAAGGAAAGAAGGTATGAACACCGCTAACCTTATATATTGACTCAGAAATAAGAATTTCTAGCACTGCATGAGCACACAGAGAATTGCCAAGGGTATCTCAAGCTGTAAGGAGGAAATCTGAGAGGACTAGTATACATTAACTCGTCCACGAAACAGTTTTTCTTATATTTATTTTCTTTTCTTAATCAAGTCAGAATCATTAAATCTACTCCTAGCTGTGTTCAATGAAATGAGAAACTAATTTTTTTTTTCTTTTTTTTTCTTTTTTTTAATTGCAGTAGAGAAATGGTGGTTATCGTTGATTATAGTAGGAGCAGCTCTATTGGTTCCCCTGTTCTGCTACTTATGCTATTCGGTATGGAAAAAACGCAAGGCTAAAGGTATGACCAGCTGGAAAAAACAAATATGATTATAAATTCTGAATCATGCATGGTGATTAGAATGTCATTTCTATGCATCTAATTTAGCGGAGAGAATAATGAATCAAAAGAAGCTATTACGTGAGCTTGGAGACAACATTCCACCTCTCTCAACATATGGCAACACAATAGCAGCAGAAAATGAACAGAGCATGAAGCATGAGCTGAATATATTCAATTTCCAAACCATTGCTGCCGCTACAAACGATTTCTCAATTACAAATATTCTCGGAAAGGGTGGTTTTGGTGCAGTTTATAAGGTAAAATATTGCTTACCTTCATTGATAGAAGTTGCATAAGAAGCAATTTTCATAAGTTTTCATTTCAGGGAATATTACTTGATGGGCAAGAAATAGCAATAAAGAGACTCTCAAGAAGTTCTAACCAAGGAATTGAAGAGTTCCATAATGAGGCTAAGCTCATTGCAAAACTCCAACATACTAATCTTGTTAGACTTTTAGGATGTTCTCTGCAGGGAGAAAAAAGGATTTTAGTCTATGAGTACATGCCTAACAAAAGCTTGGACTTCTTCATTTTCGGTAGCTTTCTTCATAAAAATCAAGATTTTACAACTCGAGCTTCTCCCTAAACACTGATCTACACATTTTTTATTTGTTGTTTTGTGATAGATTCTCATAGAAAGACACTATTAAACTGGAAGAAACGGTTCAACATAATTGAAGGAATTGCTCAAGGACTTATTTATCTACATAAATACTCAAGATTAAGAGTGATTCACAGAGACTTGAAAGCCAGCAATATTTTACTAGATGATCAAATGAATCCAAAAATATCTGATTTTGGTATGGCTAGAATCTTTGGGGTGAATGAATCTGTAGCAAATACAAATAGAATAGTTGGGACATAGTAAGTATATGGTAAATTTATAATAAAAAAACATCGAGTGTGTTCCTTTTTTCTGTAACTAATAATGATGTTTCATTTTTACAGTGGCTATATGTTTCCAGAGTATGCCATGAATGGTATTGTCTCAATAAAAACAGATGTATATAGCTTTGGAGTTTTAGTATTAGAGATTGTGAGGGGCAAGAAGAACAGTGGTTACTATCACACAGAGCATCCACTCAATCTTGTAGGATATGTAAGTTCTCCAAAAAAATTGTAATTTTCATAAAGGTATAAAGTCTAACCTCGATCACTTGTGTTTTAGGCATAGCAACTGTGGAATGAAGGTAAAGGCTACGAGCTGAGAGATCCAACAATAGATGAATCTTGCTATTCTGATGAACTATTGAGATGCCTTCATGTGGGTCTCTTGTGCGTACAAGACCAGGCAATTGACAGACCCACAATGCTAGAAGTCGTATCCATGCTCACAAATGAAACTATGCTTCTACCTGCACCAAAACAACCAGCGTTTTATATCAGTGATACTACTCAAGAGTCAGAAAATCTTGGAAAAAACGTAGAAAATTGTTCCATAAATAGTGTAACAATCTCCGTGATGGATGCTAGATAAACTTAGTGGTAATTTACTTATCTAGTATCAATGAAAAGTACAAGCAGACACACACCTAAGCATTCATCTGATCTAATCCAAAGAATGAATGTTTCCTTAACTCACACTCATGTATATCATATATGCCATTGCAATTTATCACATTTTTGGGCTTCTGTGTAATTGGAGTACCAAATTATTAAGGTTATCATAGAGTTGTTTTTCAAGATAATTCCCAAGGATCAGGTTAGCGATTGACTTTTCGTCTAATAGGCTAATGTCCTTATCTCCAATATGCTCACATTTTTATATCAGTATAATACAATCGAATTTATAAATTTTGCAAGTGCCTCCTGAAAATTCCATATATGTACTAAAATTTAATTACGTGGAATAAGATTTTAGAACTTCCATTTCTATAAATTAATTTAATTACCCCTTTTAGTCAACAGATGATATATATATATATATATATCATCTGTTGACTAAAAGGAGTAATTAAATTAATTTATAGAACTGGAAGTTCTAAAATCTTTACTAAAAAATCACTCTTCATGAATGACAAAAAGCTATTGAATAAATAAAATTTCTTGTAAATCTTCATACTTAATTATATAATTACCATATTCAGGAGTATCTAAAAACATATATAATAGGATAAAGTTTTTAAAATAAGAAATTGATTAAGACTAAAAACAGTATTATAGAAAAGATATGGTATAGTATGGTTAGCAAAGAAACTATTATAATTTAAAATATATTAAAACAGTGAAAAAAGATGATGTTAAAATTATGAAGAAGTGTTAATATTAAGTCAGTTTGTTGAGGTAGAAATTGTTTTATTATTTTCATTTTTTGTGAATTACTACAATGATTCATCTTTTCAACCAAGGAAGACAAGATGAATCAACACTGGCCACAGAAGCCTTTTTCAAGAGTTTCTAGGGATCAAGCTGGACATTAATTCATATGGATATACGCAAGTATACGAAATCATGCAAGTATAAAGCTCGAGTAAACGAGTGTCGAATCCCAAGGGAACTAATACCTACCAAGTTACCACACTAGTATATTCTATTGCTATTTGATAAAACAGAACTTTAAGAATGACTTTAATGAAATAAAATAATAAACTAAAAACTAAACAGTAAATAAATGCAGGATTTGTAAACACTTTGATGTAAAGATCAATATGGCTAAACCTAGGGCATAGATTTCGTACCAATTTAATCCTATGCATTGACATCTGTTGTTAACCTAATCAAGCGTTTTCTAAAAGCCAAATCCCCTATTATTCCACTAACTCTCTCTCGAGCAATTAGCAAATTAACCCTTAAGCAACAACCCAAGATATCTCTAAGTTGGATTTAGGAGCTAAGAGATCATTAAGCTCTATGTAATTTACCGGAGCCTCACAGATCGCGGTAACCTATCTCTAACGTTCGCTCAATCTATGGTTTTATTACTTAAGACAAATCAGGTTTCATCTCTCGATCTCAACCTAACCCATGATATCATTCAACTCTCGGGCCCTTAAGAATTGAAAGCATTATACACAATAATAAAACTTAGAATTAAAAGCTCAATAAGAATTAACAATAATCCAGGTCAACACATATTCATAAATTGGGCTACATCTTAGCCCTAGAAAATAAAATTAGTTCATACTGAAAATAAAAAAATCCATCATTCTATTCAATGACATCAGTTCAAGAAAAAGACAAAAACTTTTCTAATCGGTGAACGAGAGCTTTCAGGATCCCGATCTTCAATTTGGTAGCCGTCCTCTTCTTTCTCCAAAATCCCCTCTTAACTTCTTAAAGACTCCCTTTTATATCTCCCTGGCTTCTCTGGTTGTGCTTAGGAAAAAGACTAGAAAAGTTAGCCCATTCAGATTCGGATTTGGATAATGAATTAACACACACCTGTAACCCATCGTCGCGGCGGTAAGAATGGTCGCTGTGACGATCGTTCTTTCTGTCCTAGGAATCCGTAATCTTCAGAATTTGAACAAGTCATCAACATGAACATTGTATCTCTATGAATAAGCTTTCCAACGCCACCAGAATCGTCGAATTCCGATTTCTACAGCTCAAGTTATGACAGAAACATCGAGGCATACTCATGATGAAGGATTTCCAGATTTTTCGTAACATCTTCGACGTGCCACAACTTCCTCATTTCGACCTTGATTCTTGTGCCGTTTATTCCTACGCATTGTGAATCCTATCGGCATCATTCTTTTCCCTTCAAAAACCCGTTTGAGCCTAAAAACACTCAAAATACACCCGTGATCCCATAAATGGTATTTATGAAAGAAATAATCCAAATTTCACACTTTAAACACATTTTTCCATAAATAAACCAATTAAATCACTAACAAAATATAAGCATTCAAGCTCTTATCAATTACTTCTCCCCTTCTTATAGCTGATGTCCTTCTCTTAAGATGCTCAACCATCTGTTTTAATTGCAAACAAATACAATTGGTTCGAGAATTCTGCAAGTGCAAAGACATTTACCCACCCAAAGTTTAGCGAACCTACAAGTTCCCACCTGTGGTTTCATAAATTGCAAATTCTCACATAATTTTAAATTTCAAACATTAACTTTAGAATTTAAAATGGTACTTAGGTCTTTTTATCCTAAAATAGTTAATTTCTTTCATCCCCAAATTAGTAAAATTTTAAAATAACCCTCAACGTCTCAAAATTTTCTCACAACCCAACCCTTCCTCTTGGCTCCAACTCCTCCACCACGACCACCACCAACACCACTAGGGTCAGATCTAGCCACCATAGAGAAGAGGAAAGGAGAAAGAGGAAGAGAAAAGAGAAGAGAGAAAGAGACGGAGAAGAGATAAGGAGAAAGAGAGCGAGAAAAGAGAGGAGAGAAAGAGGGGGACAAAAGGTGGCAGTGGCTAAATCTGGCTATCGAGATCTAGTTGCTACGAAGAAGAGGGAAGGAGAAAGAGCGGGAAAAAGGTGGAGAGAGAGAGAAGAAGATCCTTACAACTAGATTTGGTTGCCGAGATTTGGCCATTGCGGAGAAGAGGAAGGTTGAAGAAGATGTTATTGAAACAAATTTGAAAGGAAGATGATTTATTTTACTAATTCTATTAATTTGAGGGTTAGAAAGTAATTTATTAATTTACTCATTATTAAAATAAGGGGTAAAAAGGTATCTGACTAGTCAAACCTGGTCAAAGGAATATTTACTTTATTGAAGTTCAAAATTGGGTAGGAATTTACAATTTATGTAACCACGGGTCAAAACTTATATATTGGCTAAACCTTGGGTGGGTAAATGTCCTTTACTCTTCCATAAATGATACTAACAAACATGCTTAGAGTACGTATAGATTATCTATTCATAGCAATTTGAATTGTATGAGACACACAAGAAAATTACTTGAATGACTCATATTTTAAACCAAGAGAGACCCAGATCTAAAGTCAATGAGTCAACAGTTGCCATTTAAGTCTTTTTCAAATGCGAGAGTACTCTCTCCTGGGGATTGGGTATTGGCGATTAAGTTCATCTTCTAATAGGCTGATGTCCTTGTCTCTAAATGCTCAACTTTATTAGTTTCAATGAAAATTATTTCAAAATTCACTAGTGCCCCATGAAATATGAATCCGTTTGTTTTATTATTTCATACCCTATTCCCAAAATATTTATTTATTTAATTATTGAGAAATACTATTATATTTTAATTACTTTTAGACCTTTTAAGTTTATTAATTTAATTAAACACCCCTAGAAAAAAGTTTTAAAAATTAATAAAACACTCCCACCTACCCATGGTTGATGGTGGTTGTCGGAATCTATTAGAATGGCTTAGAAACGATCGAAACTGACTGGTAATTCGTCGATTTGGCCGTTAGCGACAACCAAAGAAATACATTGTTGACCAATAATGAGACCAATATTTAGCCATCGTGATGACCAAATCTGGCATTGCGGCCGTCGACGGCCAAATACCTTTTCCTACGTCATAAAGCTTTGCCAGCTAGATTATGGCGGTGGTGGCCGGAATCTGGCACTATGGGCGGGTGACGATGTTTTTGTCATTTTACAAATTTTATATATAGGGTATTTAGTTAAATTAGCAAACCTAGGGTGTTTTTTTTTTTTTTTTTTTTTTTGTTAATTTTTAAATTTACCTTTGAGTACTCACCTATTCAATGTCCAATATTATTCTCAAAATCCTATCCAAAAAACAAAACAAACGGACCCAGAGGATACACCATATATTATTGATAATAATACGATATACATTCATAACATTTTGAATTGTATGAGACGCGTGAGCAGAAAATCGAATTGGCAGTGGGGATTTAAAGATGTTGACATCTGTTCATTCATATGTACAACTTCTCTTATTGTGTGTATCCTCTAACTATATTAAACGAATTCCTATGACAATTTCCGTGTCTTTATGCCTCTCAGGTTTATCAGCATGATTGTGGAGTCCCGGAATATTCACGATATACAGATTTGAAAACAGGCAGCAATTATGTTCCCGATGCAACCTTCATGAGACTAGGGTAACATGTAGGTGTTACCGAAATACAAAAATGATGCCCTGGAACAACAATTCTACAACCTTAAAGCTTCCCTGAAGGGTCCAGAAATTGTTACAAATATCACATCTTTAGTTATGAGTTTTGGGTATTTTAATGATAAAACGTTTTTGAGAAAAGTGAAATCTAAAAGCGAATCCGAGGAACAAAAAATGCTTGTATAATCATCTCATAAATTACTCTTGTTTGAGTTTCGTCTATTGATTAAGTGCTGGGGTAGCTTACAGATTTTGGTTCGTCGAGAAATTGAATATAATAGTTGCGTGGAGAATCAATTAACAAAAGAAAAAACAAACCCCACACATTATCGGAAAGCGGAAGTTTTTAGCTTTTTCTCATTGACTTGAGCGTCAAAATTCTGTTTTTGATGTGTTTCACATCAGTCGGCTAGTTTGTTCAAAGTCTATATTTTTCGGAGACAAATTCATTTAAGATGTGGAAAATTAATTAACTTGATATATTTAATTTATGATATTTAATTAGTATTGTCAAACTCCTATTATTAGCCATATTCAAGACATATCTTTTGAGAATCCTTCATATTTTCTAAATTGTATCTTTAGAAAGACCAGCTGAAAGCCAGAGTCAATGAACAACAGTTACCATAGAGGCCTTTTTCAAGAGTACTTTCTCAAGGATGAGGTTGGCCATTACTTCCCCTCTTATTGGCTAATGTCCTTGTCCTAATTGTCCTTTATATACATTACAAACTATTACAATTGAATTTTTAAATTCTGCAAGTGCCCCCGAAATTCCACAAGGTACTAAAATTCAATTTAAATAGATATAAATGAGTTGACTTATACTAGAAAAATTAACTGACATTGCTATTATATATTGTTCATCGTTATGGTCTTTCGTATGCATCATAAATTACTGCAATAGACTGGAAGAAACCGAATTCCCATCATATTCAATGTTGACCAAAAAGACTTATATATATTACATAATACAAGTTCTTTATGAAAAAGACAAGAAGTTGATTAAGCTGACAAAGAATATAATAAAATTTGCTAACACAACAAGTTGATGTGATTCTAGCGTAATAAAAAAATGCAAAAACTGAATTGAACCGATAAACGAATCGAAAAAATTCAAAAAACCAGATTTTCGATTCGGTACCAGTTCGAAAAAATAAAAAAAGATAAATGAAACTAGTTTTTTGAATCGGTTTTACAAATATATATATTAAATAACAAATAATTTCATTTCGGACTTTTATTTGTATCAATTTTTAATGTATTGTTAGGAGTGGTCAATGGCTATATATTAATGTTTAATTTTTATTTGGATATATATTGTTATATTTACAATTTAATTAGGAAAAATTAAAAAAAAATAAGTTTTATAAAAAAAAAAGGGAAAACCATTTCAAAACCGATTAGCGCCTTTTTTAAGTGGTTAACGGTTTTTCGGTTAATCAAAAAATCGATTTTCCCTCCAAACGGTTCGGTTTTGGTTCGGTTCAAAAAAGCGGTTTAAACACCTAGAGTAACTGAATAAACATGAATAAGTAAAAATAAAAAAATATAGGTATTCGTTGAGAATTTCTATTCGTTGAGAAATTTGTGATGGAAAGCTGAGTAATATCACTTATGAATATAATAGTTGCGTGTGAGAATCAATTAACCATCAATTATTCGGAAAGCAGAAGTTTTTAGCTTTTCTCATTGACTTGAGCATCAAAATTCTTTTATTTGCATGTATTTCACATCAGTCGGCCCATGTCATGCCTTTAAGCTTTAGGACCAGTTATTTTCCGAAGACAAATTATTAACTTGTGGAAAATTAATTAACTTGTATATTAATTTGATAGTTAATTAGTATTGTCAAACTCTATATTAGCCATATTTAAGACATATCCTTGGAGAATCCTTCATATTTTCTAAATGTAACCAAGGAAAACCAGCTAAAAGCCAGAGTCAATGAGTCAACCGTTTCGTAAAGGCTTTTTTCAAGAGTACTGTTGGCGATTACTTCCTTCTATTGGCTAATGTCCTTGTCGTAATTGTCCTTTTATAGATATTACAAACATTACAATTGAATTGTTAATTCTGCAAGTGCCTCCGGAAATTCCACAAGGTACTAAAATTTAATTTAAGTAGAATAATAAAATGAGTGACTAGTTACTAGAAAAATTGACTGATATGCTATTATATATGTTCATCGTTATGGTCTTTCGCATAGCATCATAAATTACTGCAATAGATGGAAGAAACCGAATTCCCATATATTCAATTGACCAAAAAGACTTATTAACTTATATATATAATTATATATATAATAATATATTATATATATACACACACTTTAATCTAAACACACTAATGAAAAAGAACAAGAAGTTGATTAAGCTGACAAAGATAATCAAAAATTGCTAACACATACAAGTTGATGTGACATGAAATAACTAATGGATAAGAAAAATTAAAAAATAGGTAGAATTATACTAAACAATAAAAGTTTTAATGGATGATTCTATTTGCTTTGTGTTTAAAAGTAGTTTCTATGAGAATTTGCTTTGGTAAAATTCGTGAATGATTCATATTTCAAACAAGGAAGACCCATCTAACTCAAAGTCAATGAATTAATCAACACGTGCCACATAAGTCGTTTCCAAGATCGTACTCTCCCAGCTGGGATCAAGTTGGAGGTCTCTAAAATGCTCACCTTTTTTAATACTTTGGATTACTTGAAAAATCATATATAGCAACGTAGTACTAAGCATTATCGTTTGCATAGCATTATAAATTGTATGGAACACAAGAGGAAATAAATTGGCGATGGAAATCTAAAGAAGTTGATCTTCTGTGCATTCATAAGTACAGCTTTTTTGTAGTCGATTCACGCCCAGAGTCAATCAGGTTACTAACTCCATCCATATTTAAGTATCAAGATTCAATTTTATTGTTTATTCAATAAGATTTTCTCTTGCTTATCCTTATATCTCCAGGTTTATAGCATAGATTGTGGGATACTGAAAAATCTAGCTACATGGACAAGATGACAGGCATAAATTACACTTCAGATGCAAATTTCATAGAGACCGGTGTAAGAAATATATCATTTGAATACATCAGAAACAGCCTTGAACAACAATTCATGAGCGTGAGAAGCTTCCCTAGGGAAAAAGAAATTGTTACACCTTGAAACTTGCTGTAGCAATAAGTTTTTAATTAGGCAAGATTCATGTACGGAAATTATGATGGCCAAGGAAAGTACCAAGGGTTAATCTCCTTCTTGAAGCTGATCTCTGGGATTCAGTGGAACTTACAAATGCATCCACTATTGCACCAAGGAGATCCTCCATATTCCGAGAAGAACTATATATATGTCTGTCTTGAAAACACAGGCTATGGGACACCTTTCATATCAGCATTAGAATTAAGGTGTCTGAAAAATTCAACTTTAACTTGACACCGGATCATTACTAATCTTCGGCGGTGGGATTTTGGTTCAACAACCAATAAACCAATCAGGTGAGCCAATTATTTATACTACCGCATTTTGGAAAGCAGAATCTTAGTTTTGCTAATTAGTAAGTAACAATGCTCTGTATGTAAGGTACAAAGATGACGTTTATGATCGCATATGGTCTCCTACAACTGCGACAACTGCAAATCAATATTACTCGCTCAGAGTCTTCTATCCGAGCGATTATGCTACACCGTCTACCGTCTTACGAATGCGGTTGTACCGGCAGATAGCAATTTTTCAGTTCAGTTTCAAGCTACTGATCCGATTTCCAATATCATGTCGACTTCTACTTTGCTGAGCTTGAAGGCACCCATCCAACCAGACTAGAGAAATTGAAAAATTTTTTAATGGAAGGAAATTGTGGGATGACCGTTTGAACCTGAATTCTTGGCGGGAGACGGCCTCCACCCGACAATACACAAAGGGGAAGATCATATTGAGCTTTCAATCGAGAAAACTGAGAATTCGACGCTACCGCCCATCCTCAATGCCTTTAGATTATAGAGTGCAAGAGTTTCAAACACTGCTAACAAACCAAAACGATGGTCTGTTTTCCTCCTTACGATTGTTTTTCTTTCCGTATTATTTTCTTGTTCTTAATGGAGGGTTAAGTAGAGCCAATCAGGCAATCACACATGATATAATATTCTTTCTTTTCATGTTAAAAATATTAGTTGATGCCATCATGAATATAAAGTCAAAATACGGAGTGAAAAGAATGGCAAGGAGACCATGTGCACCTACCTTCACTTGTGGCAAGGTCTTAATTGCGCTACGTGGTATGATCCCCCAAGATCATATCGTAAGTTACACTATGAACTTCTAACCTGATCAGCGCAACAATCTTTTAATGAAATTATGAATAAACAAGCAGGAACTTATCATCGAGTGGAATAGCTGGAGACATATCGTATACATATCAGCTCACATCAATACAATATCGTAAGCATCACATAGCCTAACATGAACCGGTGTAAGTTTTCATCCCATAATGATGGGAACCAAGTGAGCTTAATATTTCCAATCACCATTTAGGGACTTATCAACAATAGCTTGACAGGAAGAGTGCCGATTTTCTATCAGAGCGCAACACTTGACAGTCCGTAAGTTCCTTGATCAGGATGATGATGAATAAGCTTTAACTTTGATAGAAGAGCTAAGATTTATTTTAAAAAGTCTTGGACGGTCTTAATATCTATTCAGTTAAACAGAACTCTTGGAATAAAAAAATGGATTACAATTACTAAAAATTCCTTTGCAGAAACCTGACAGAAAACAGACTTGAAGGTTCGATTCCAGTCGGATCATGGAAATGAAGAAGAATGGTCTGATACTAAGGTGATCTTTATACAAACTTTTTTATCACTATGAAGCTTACAAATTACAAACAGAATATGTGCTAAATCAATTAACATATTGGGGAAACCAGCCGAGATGATATATTAATAAATGCCGAAAAAATGCAATTATGCATAGAGCATCGGATTCACGTGATCTGGAGCCCTAGATTGTTGTTAAAATAACCTTTTAATTTTTATTCAGTGTGGACGAGAATCCAAATCTTTGTTCTGACGCTTCTTGCATAGAGAAAAAAAGTTTTATGGTTCTAGTACTAGGAGCAGTCATTCAACTTCTGCCCTCTCAACCGTAATGGCATTTTGTGGAGCTTTAAAAGAAGAAACAGAGGTACGAACACCTTTTATTTTTCAAGATGAAATTAAGGGAAGTCATTTCGTTGATAAAATATTACAACATCACCCTAAAACATTTCCGCATCTGTATCTTGATTATTTTTGTTTATTTTTCTAATCAAATATGAATTCTCAATGTACTCTGCTATGGTGAATCAAATGAGATAATGAAAAAATTTCAATGCAGAAAACAAGGTGGTATTCATGATTATAGTAGGAGCAGCTCTATTGGTTCCTCGTTTTGCTACTTCTGCTATTCAATATGGAGAATTCACCAGGCAAAAGGTAACAGCTAGGAACAACTAATATGATTTCAAAGTATCAATGGAATCTTATTTCTTATATCTGTCTGTCTAATTTAGTGGAGAGCATAATAAACCAGAGAAGATATTGCGTGATTTTGGAGACAATTTGTCATCTCCCTCAGCAGACGGTAAAGGAGTAACACAAGATAAAGATCAGAGCATGAAGCATGAACTAAATAATTTAATTTTCAAACCATTGTTACTGCTACAAACAATTCTCAAGTCAAATGTGCTTGGAAAGGGCGATTTTGGTGCAGTTTACATGGTAAGAATTTGAATTTCTTATATTGAGAGTAGTTGTATAATAAGCAATTGTCATAGAGTTATGATTTCAGGGAACATTACTTGATGGAAAGAAATAGCATAAGAGACTCGAGAGAAATTCTAACCAAGGAGTACGAGAGTTCCAGAATGAAGCTAAGCTTATTGCAAAACTCCAGCATACTAATCTTGTTAGACTTTTAGGATGTTCTCTGCAGGAAGAAGAAAGGATTTTAGTCTATGAGTAGCCTAACAAAAGCTTGGATTCTTCATTTTCGGTAGCTTTCTAATCGTATGAATAATATTTGCAACTCAAGCTTCTCAATCATGACTACTCATTTTTGCTTGTGACAGATTCTCGTAGAAAGAAACTACTAAATTGGAAGAAACGTTTCAATAATTGAAGGAATTGTTCAAGGACTTGTTATTACATAAATACTCAAGATTAAGAGTGATTCATAGAGACTTAAAAGCCAGCAACATTTTACTGGATGATCAAATGAATCCAAAAATATCTGATTTTGGTATGGCTAGAATCTTTGGGGTGAATGAAGAAGCAAATACAAATAGAATGTCGGGACATAGTAAGTATATGTTAATTTACAACCAAAAAACATGGATTATGTTACTTTTTTCAGTTACTAATAATGATGTTTAATTTTTAAAGTGGATATATGTCTCCGAGTATGCCATGAATGGTATTGTCTCAATAAAAAACGGATATATAGCTTCGGAGTTTTAGCTTAGAGATTGTGAGTGGCAAGAAGATAGCGGTTGCTATCACACAGAGCGTCAACTCAATCTTGTAGGATTTGTAAGTTCTCTAATCAAATCGTGTGATATCTCATAAAGGTATAAAAGCTAACCTCCAATTTCTTGTTTAGGCATGGCAGCTGGGGAATGAAGGTAAAGGCTTGGAGCTGAGGATCCACAATGGATGAATCTTGCTCTTGAAGAAGTATGAGATGTCTTCACGTGGGCCTCTGTGCGTACAGACCAGGCAATTGACAGACCCACAATGCCAGAAGTTTTATCCATGCTCACAAAATGAACATTTCTTCTACCTACACCAAAACAACCAGCATTTTATATAATGATACTAGTGAAGAGTCAGAAAATCCTGGAAAAAAAGGTAGAGAATGTTCCATAATACTGTAACAATCTTGGAAATGGAAGCTAGATAAACCTACTACAAATTTAATTGGTTGTTGAGACCACTATAGAGGTGAAAAGAAAATTGCTTTAACATTTCTACTCTTTAATGTAAAATGGGTAATCAGAATGTATGTAATCTATTGAGAACTATGTAAACCTCTACTTTATAGGCTATAAACCTGAGATGTTAAAAAACCTATCTTTTTATACTGTGGCAAATTCATGGTGATTATTAAAAATGTTTCGTTATCATATGAAAATAATTTTCTACTCCAAAATTTAAGAAGAAAAAAAGGGAAAAAAATAAACAAATAAATGGGCCGGCCTGAAGACTGCTCGGCCCGCTCTACTTCAGAAGCAACCCAATAGCTTCAGTTTGTTCAGCTGAAGTGGACAAGGGCCCTTCAAACTTTGAATTCATTATTAATTTAATAAAAAAATTCAATAATGTGTGTTAAATTAAAGAATAAATGTGAGCTCGGTTAATATAGAATAATTGCGGTGGTCCTCAGTTAATTTTTATTTCACTATTTACATTACTAATATGAGATGAGTGGATTTAAAGTAGGATTGGAATATCTCCATAGTGCTTGTAAGCCACCCATAGTCCACAAAGATGTGAAATCCACGAACATCTTACTAAATGAAAAATTCCAAGCCAAATTATTGATTTTGGCCTTTCCAGAACTTTTCCATTAAAAGTGAAATCATATTTCAACAACTATTGCTGGCATCCCTAGATACCTTGATCCTGAGTAAGTTGCCCCATGCCTGTCATAACTATAATCTCGAGAATCCAAAAACTACTATCAAATTTTGATCCTACATGCGAGTAAATACTATTTTCACAATCTATTATATAGTATAGGTACTATATATCACAAAAGTTGATAGAACAAAGTGATGTGTATAGTTTTTGTAAGTTTTAAAGGGGTTACCAAAGATTAAAACTTATGCTGAATGGGTTACTTGTCAATTTAGTGCAAATGAGTTGAGAATAACTTAATTAAAATAGACATAAAACCAAGTAAAGAACACGACTCTTTTACATGGTTTGGCATCAAGCTTACATCCATGGGACCAGTCCAGAGGAAGCAAATCACTATAGAATACTTATGAGTTCAAAATTCAAAGCAAGATAACCACAGTAGAAAACACTCCTTGTTTTCTACACAACAATTCAATCTTTTTGGTTGAACTTCAAGTCATCACAGCAAGCTTCACGGCACAACAACGTCATGTTGAAGAGAGTCCCTCTCAAGGTCAATAATGAAGACAGGACAATAGTACTCTCAAGCTCTCGTCACAAGGAAAAAACAACTTCCTAAGATCCAAATAAGGATAAGTGATGAAGGTATTTAAAGCCTACCAAGCATAGTAAGAAACCTTAACAAAACAAGAACCTCAGAGATATTCAGAGAGGCAGAACAACGTAATCGAGTTTCTTAACAAAAAATAAAACAGGAGAATATAAAGGATGACATGGTAAAGGATGGGGGACAAAAAGTTAAACTTTAACTTTTATGTCTTTCTTTTGCACAAGACATTTTGGGACCACAGACAAGAGAAATATTTATTTTCTTACTAGCAAATAAACGGGAGATAAGTGTAAAGAATAAGACAGAGAATCAATGAAGGAATAATTCTTTCTAGAAGAAAAACAAATGTGTGAGGTGTGATTTGAAGAAAATATCTGCCAGAAATGATGTGAACACTATAGGCAAAAGTGCTCACACTTGTGAAGGTGGCCCTTTAGAAGTGTGTGCACAATGGATCATAAGATGACAAAAACACTAACAATCTCCCCCTTCATCACTTATGATCAAAGCACAATTCAATGACAACATGAGGGAAAAAACATTACTAAGGAGGGAAAACAATAAAAGCAATAATAGAGCATAAAAATCACTCCCCTAAGCAACACACAAACAAACAACAAACAACAACGGAAGTGATGTACCAAGGCTTCCAAAGGAAGCAGAACAATATGACCATCAAGAGGATCTGCAATACAAGGGAGAGATTAGCAAAAAAAAAAAAAAAACCAACAAACAAATCATTGCAAAACGGGAAGGCCAAAAAGGAAACTAAAAACTTTTGCATATAGTTCTGCATATGAAAAGACACCAAAAAAAAAAAAAAAAAAAAATGTGATCACATAAGACAACAGGGATCACACTAACAACCAGTTAATGACAATAATAAGTAAAAGTTTATGTAAAAAAAATGAGTCCAACAATAGTAGTAACATCAACAGCAACATGATCTCCCCTCTTTGATCATAAGAGATCAGCTTTTGAAACAAGAGGATCTCCTGATGGGCTTCTGCCAACAGATTTGACATGAGTTCTACCAGGTGTACTAGCTGAAGGAGGATCAACTGCAAAGGTGATCATAGGAGCAAGGGTGGCCACACCAGAGGCACCCTCTCATTCTGAGAACCAATAGGAGGAGTAACATAGTCAGCATTTGTTTCTCTGTTTGAGGGATTCAGGAGCAGCTATAGAGGCAGAAGTTCCTTTTGCACTTTTCTCAACAGTAGCTCAGACTCATGTTCATCAATAGCACATTCTTCATCATTTCTGCAATGTCATAAAAAAGACTGGATTTTGACCTTCAGGAATAGTATTTCATTGTTAGTGTTGGTATTTAGATCAGCTTGATGTTCAAAGGAACATCAGTCTCTTCAGCAGAAACAGAGCCAACAGGGGCATCCTTGGAACCACTTGAAGTTCCTCTACTCAAAAGATCAGCATTGGTTTCTTTAAGAACAGTTCAAGAGAGTCAAATCAAGCCATCAAGGAGGTGTGAAAAGAGTTTACTTTTTGATCAAGAGCCTGCAATAGCTCACAACACTTTGGACTACCAAGCACTGGATTTTACAGAAAGGGCTTGTAAGGATGAAGGGACATCCATAGTAAGGGCAATAGGCTTGAGAGTTTTAGAAGTGATACTTCTAATTTTGAGGAACTGATCATTTGGTCTTTTTTTAGCCCATAAGAGTAACAATTCTTGTGACCAAGGAAGCGAAGGGCAGAATAAAGGAATTTCCTTCAGACCACTAGTGGTCTTGATCAATTTGTAAATAACAAATGCATGTCGATTTTCTTTCCTGCAATGCCATATAGTAATTGGGTTTTATCAAGTCTTATTAAGGAGTTATGCCTAGATGGAGACCAGTTGGTAACAGTAATTTTAAAAGAGTCATATAAAGAGAAGTGAGCTCATTGACTGGAAGGAATCCACTGTCAGGCCAAATTGTAACCATACCACCACTAAGGTCATAGCCGTAAACTACGTTCCTCTACAGGAATAGACAAGTCATCTCATTTTAACAACATGAAGCTTAACAATTTTCTAATGACATCAGGGCTAAAGTCCATCTAGTACCCTACCCAAATTGGTTTTTGTGATACAGGGTTTGGTCAATATCTTTCCTAAAATGGCATAAAATTCTTGCACAAAGCCGACAGTGGCACAGGTTTCACCATAGTTTTCCATTTTCTATCAACCATGATTTTGCGATTTCAGGGAATTTGAGAGCTCACATTGACTCATAGACAATGGGTCTAAAAAAACAGACTCTTTAAACCTCAACTCAGAGAAGAAGGAAACAAAGATTTTTGTTTACCTAAAACCTCAGTGAGGTGTCGCTTTCACTTTCTTTACCCTTGGCAATCTCGACTTGGTTCTTCTTCTTCGCATGGGATTCAATGAGGGGCCCTTTTGAGCGTTTCAATCTCTTGATAAGAGGTTGATCATAGATGAAGAGGAGTTTGACAATGAAGATTTGACACCAATTTTGAGGCAGAGTGGGTGCTTTCACTTAAGGTAGAGAGGTGTGCACTTTCTTGGTGGACTGAGAAGTCCTGTTCTGTTCTTTTCTTGGATTCAACAGCCTTTCTAATGTCATCAATGAATCCCTGGTGGTGTTCCAATGATCTTTACAAAAGACAGTTAGGAGGAATGATTGAAAGAAAATAAAAAAAAAAAAAAACGCACTTGAATATGATGGCGAAAGAACAAACATAACTTTATAAAGAAAGAGAAGATAATGCAATCCTAGAAAAACACGTGTTGTCTGTTTTATTAATAGAACCAAATGTGAGCACATCCAACAGTTATGTGTGCACAACTAACAAAAGTCCCACATGATAACATAAGTGTACAAGGACAACAATAAACTATACATAAGGCACAAAACAAACTTAAGAGAGAAATCAAAGACAGATATGTGCACACAAGAGAGAAACGATTATCAATCTTGGGGATGCTGGAGAAATGACCTCAACCAAGTTACTTTCACAACATGCGCAACACTTCTTCTTTGTCAATCGATGAGCAAGTATGCAAAGATTCTTGTATAAGTGTGTGTAGTGTCCTCAAAAGGGAGCATGACTCATGGCCAAATATTTATTCAACTCCCCCTTCCCTCCTGCCTTTTTCTTTTCAGATTAATGAGATTCTTTTTACTTCTTTCTCTTTGTAAAAAATAAGAAATGGGACAAAAATTTCTCACAGTAACCAAGTGTAGCTTTCGCACTGTAAGGAGGTAGTCCTTAAAAGGTAGATCTTTCAAAACCGTTCTGATACAATTGTAAGTTTTAAAGGGGTTACCAAGTGATATAAAATTATGCTGAATGGGTGACTTGTTCAATTTAGTGCAAATGAGTTGAGAATAACTTAATTAAAAACATGCATAAAACCAAGTAAAGACATGCTCATTTTACATGGTTTGGCATCAAGCCTACATCCATGGGACCACGTCCAGAGAAAGCAAATTCACTATGAAATACTTGAGTTCAATACAAAGCAAGAAACCACAGTAGTAAAACACTCCTTGTTTTTACACACAATTCAATCTTCTTTGGTTGAACATCAAGCCATCACAGTAAGCTTCACATGTACACAACGTTATGTTGAAGAAGAGTTCCTCTCAAGGTTCAACAATGAAGACAGGACAGTGGCTTACACTCAAGCTCTGGTCACAAGGAAAAAAAAACTATCCTAAGATCTCACAAGGATAAGTGATGAAGGGAATTTAAAGCCTATCAAAGCATAGTAAGAAACCTTAACAAAAACAAGAATCTCAAAGAATATTCAGAGAGGCAGAACAATGTAATCGGATTTCTTATCAAACAAAAAAAAATGGGAGAATAAAAGCATCAACACGTTAAAGGATGGGGGGACAAAAAAGTTAAACTTTAACTTTATGTCTTTCTTTGCACAAGACATTTGTAACCACAGACAAGAGAGATATTCCTTTTTTACTTAGCAATAAAGAAGAGACAAGTGTAAAGAATAAGACAAAGCAATCAAGGAATAATTCTATTCAAAAGAAAAACAAAATGTGAGGTGTGATTTGAAGAAAAATATCTTACAGAAACGATGTGAACACTCATAGGCAAAGTGCTCACTTGTGAAGGTGGTTACCTTTGAAGTGTGTGCACGGTAGATTATAAGATGACAAAAAACTAACAGTTTGGGTTTGTAGTATTTTTGTCAACTTATGAAGTTTGTGTGAGCATATCCATTTTTATTTCTGCACCCCTTTCTATTAAGCATAATCACATTCTTAGTTCACATGTCATGACATTCAGAATTAATGTGTGCACTTCCCTTAGATTGTTTTCATCGATAATGTGTGGCTAGATTAGAGTCTGATGTGCCAACAGTCGTTAGTCAACCTTTTGCACAGAGCGTTATGTTTCATTAGTTGTATGTATATGTCCAGGCCTAAGATAGTGTAAGTGGGTCATATACAAATGTCCAATATCTTTGTTGTGGTCCTGGAAATTGTTTTCTTTCAGATGTGTCCTAACAAAATTGGTACAAACTTTCTCTTTTAGGTAAAAATGTGTAGAGGTTTTCGGCGGTGGTGGCTAAGGGTTTTTTGTGCCAGAATTCTATTTAATCTTCTTCATTCTGCTTTTATGTTCGAGCCTGAATATTCCTCATTTGTTCTATGAAAATCCTTGAGGTTTATTTATATTTGTCAGGTACCTTAAGCTTTAATAAGCTTAAAAATACCAAATTAACATTTGTTGTTTGAGTGTGTTGGAACATAGTTCCTTGAAGAAAGCTTGACGGGATTTCAAGCTATGAAGTTGAAGGGTTCTTCAGCGTTGAAGCTTGAGTGGAGCTCGAGCTATCCAGAGGAGTCTGGATTCAAGCAAGCTATGGTAGAACAAAAATCAACCTGAGGGTGAAGTTAGAGTGATATGAAAACAAGATGTGTTTTACGTTGTTAGTTTAACTTTGACTTGTAATCGAACTGTGATGTTTGCTATAGTAGATTTATTTCATCTGGACTTGGTCCCAGGATGTAGAAAATTGGCTAAAACATGTAAAATCATTTTGTGCTTTACTTTATGTCTTGTGTCTTGGATGTTGACATATGTTGGATGAATAGTAATGATACAATGTCAAGATGATAATATTCACATCAAAACACCATCCTTTGAATCTACTTTTCTGATCGATTCAACATCAAGAAAACTGATTCAAAGAAAATTGATATCAAGAAAATCTGTTTTTCATGTAAATTTTCTCTACAAACACTCTTTACGTTTAGTTGAATACCATTTAATTAATCCAAACATGTAATGTATTACTAAGATTATAAAATTCGCTAACACATACAATTTGGTATGAAATGTTGAAGAAAGTAACGTAATAAACATATAAATTTAATTAAATAAAATATACGATGGTGCAATTCTTAATACTGGACATGTGGTTCTTTAAAAAATTCACACCTTTTAGGTTCAATGTGAGTGTTGTATGACTCAAAGGTTTAAAAAAGTGATATATAATTTCAAACGTTATAATTGAGACAATCACATTGCATGTGAGGGGGCTAAGTGATTAAATACCAGGGAAACGCCTAAATATCAAGACGCGTTTTGGGCTTAAATAAGAGTTTTTGGACTTGAAATAAAACTGTGAGGGACTAAACTTCAGAGTCAGGCTACCCAGATTGTCAAAGCCGACAATATCTTGACAGTGTTGGATCGGTTGTAGGTGGAGTGTTACAAAATATAATGACATTTTCATCCACAAACTAACTGCCGATAATTTAATGGGTTAGATCGAGGGGTAACGTTGGAAATGCGCTAAAAATTAATCAAATCTGAAAATACAAATCTTTTTTGTATCATATGATAGTACAGTTGACCATGAGTAACAAAAAGACAAACTAGACAATAGTTATCTTATAAAATACACCTATCTATTGTTTAACATTTTTTATTTGTTTTCTTAATTTTATAATTTGCATCTTTTATATTATTATTTTAAACCTTATAATATTTAACAATTATATAATAAAAATTTTTCTCGATTTATACCTACTATTTTAATATTATTAGATAAAAATTTTTTATGAAAAACATTTTTGATTTTTTTAGTTATTATATTAATTTTGTTTTGTTTATTTTATTTACAAGTTGACAAGACAAAAGGTTTTCTGCATCTTCTTGTTAGATTTTGTGTTAGGTAAAATATTAGGCTTACGATGCTTACTTTTGGATAAAAATGTCATGATAATATGATATTATAACATTTGGGTTTGTAATGTTACTTGTTTAACTTTATGTCTAACTGCAGTAACAATAAACCTAAAGGATTTTCAGAGTAAATGCTGAGCTCAGTTAAGTAATAGATAATTGGGGGGCCTTAGTAATTCAATAATTAAGTTTGTAACAAATGAACTAATATGCATTGAACTTGAACTGTAGGATTGGAGTATATGCATAGTGCTTGTAAACCACCCATAGTCCGCAGAGATGTTAAATCCACAAATTTTTGTGAATGAAAATTTACAAACAATATCTGATTTTGGCCTTTCCATAATTTTTCCAATTGAAGGTGGAACTCATCTTTCAACCACAGTTGTTGGAAACCTGGTTACCTGACCCTGAGTAAGAACATTGCTATTGGATAAGTGTTAATGGCATGAAAGGAATTCTGTTC